GCACCCCCCCCCCCTGTACTCAACATTACAGTCGACTAGTGTCCGCGGATTACATTGCGAAGGTCGCAAATAAAAGCAGCTTTAACTACTATTTCCAGTGCTTTTTGTTTATTATTCATTTAAGTGTTTAAATCAAAAAGTTTGTTCAGTCGTTTGCATAGAATCGATGTTTGCTCTTCACGAAATTGCACAGGAAACGTGAAAGCACAATAATTTAATAAACGGCCATGACCAGCCAGCACACTCCGCATACATGTGAAAATTGTTTTTTCTTTCGGTAAAATTTATAGTATGAACCCATGGTCAGCGATTAAAGAATCATAGAATTATAATTGTAGTTAGTAAAAACGGGTGCATGTTCACCAAAGCATGGAGCTAAAATATTTTAGCTTCATGACCGAAGGGCCACAGAATTCTTGTGTCACGCGCCGCCGTTTAAATGAAGACAATGGCAGGTTTCAAAAGTAGTCACACCTCAGAGAGGTGTTAAATTTGCCACAACCCAAGTGTTAACTAGCACACAATTCCATAATACATAGTATATAATAAAGAATTAAAGTGCATGTTTAGTGATAAGTCCGCATGTTTATGAGACGTCCCTCACACGTGGAATGTATTTACACGCAACCCGGATCAAATTTGAATTGAAACAAATTGAAACAAAGAAGCGTCTGCCGTTGCTTGGTCAGGATAGAGAGACAATTTTCATGGGTAAATGCTAGTAGAAGACTTAGCCTCAATGCCCCAAATACTTCGACCTAACCACTTTATTTGTACAAGTAGAAAAAGTGTTATGTTTCGTTGAAACATAGACCTTAGAAAAGATAATAAACAATAAAAATATACAGTTCACATATATACTCTCAAGCAAAGATCCTGGCATAATTATAGAACTTGCCAATTATATTTACACAACACAAAGATTTATTTAACATTTAAATACTAGTTAAGTCCTTTTTTATTGTTTTTTGTACAATTCTCACATATATCTTGTTATTATTTTTTTGCTGTACTTATCCTATGTAAAAAAAATTTACACGAAGGCAATAAAGTTATTATTATTATTACTACATGCCCGGGGACTTCACGTTCAAGTATCCAACTTTCCAATACAAAACATGATTAGTATCAGCAATAATTTCTAGTACTGCCTGAATAATTGCGTATTATTAGTTGACATTTTTCTTGTGGTGTTTTTCGTCAATGTATTAATTTAATATAAGTGCGTTGGGAAATAGCATAATTATATTGCGTGAGTGAAAGAGGCTGGTGATACTGTGTCACAACGCAGTTGAACGCGTTCTATTTATTTCCAACGCGCGTGGTCGGCGCCTCTGATTGAGTTTATTTTGTAATTTTATTTTTGAAATGTATCACTAGCTGCGTTTTTTGTTGTTATGTCTCGCAAATGTCCAAGGTCCAAGTAGTCTGGTTGAAACGTGCGTTCCCATTGGTCAACAGAATCAACAGTTTATAGGAGGATTTAGCTGAGGGCCAGTACTTCATTACAAAGCTGTTGAAATACCACGAAGTTAACATCACGTTATTCCTAATCAGCAAAACAGCGAGTTTGTTGTCCATGTCTTGTCTGAGACAAAATAGCTTTGAAACCAGCCATTGTTTCCATTGGCTCGCGTGTGAGTTCCTGTTCAGCGAGTCTACTTGTACTGATGATAACTGTACTTCTATGATTATTTCAATGCTAACATGTCCATGCTTATTTTAACGAAACATAACACTTTTTCTACTTGTACAAATAAAGTGGTTAGGTCGAAGTATTTGGGGCATTGAGGCTAAGTCTTCTACTAGCATTTACCCATGAAAATTGTCTCTCTCCTGACCAAGCAACGGCAGACACTTCTTTGTTTCAATTATGTTTCAATTCAAATTTGATCCGGGTTGCGTGTAAATCTACCATGTGTGAGGGACGTCTCGTAAACATACGGACTTATCACTCAACATGCACTTTATTCCTTTTGCTGATTAGAAATAACGTGATGTTAATTTCGTGGTATTTCAACAGCTTTGTAATGAAGTACAGGCCCTCAGCTAAATCCTCCTATAAACTGTTGATTCTGTCGACCAATGGGAACGCACGTTTCAACCAGACTACTTGGACCTTGGACATATATGTATTATGGAATTGTGTGCTCGTTAACACTTGGGTTGTGGCAAATTTAACACCTCTCCGAGGTGTGACTACTTTTGAAACCTGCCATTGTCTTCATTTAAACGGCGGCGCGTGACACAAGAATTCTGTGACCCTTTGGTGAACATGCACCCGTTTTTACTAACTACAATTATAATTCTATGATTCTTTAATCGCTGACCACGGGTTCATACTAATTTCACCAAAAGAAAAAAAATTCACATGTTATGCGGAGTGTGCTGGCTGGTCATTGCAGTTTATTAAATTATTGTGCTTTCACGTTTCCTGTGCAATTTCGTGAAGAGCAAACATTGATTCTATACAAACGACTGAACGAACTTTTTGATACAGCATCATGCCAATCTTAACCAACCATGTACACATCATTTCATAACCATCGTAAATATTTGATTTTACTGTGATAAAACACAATTGAACGTACGTTGTTATATTATAAGCAAACGTTACAAGCCAAAAGTTTGTATTACTCCTCGCATAGGGCTTTTTTGCTACTAGCAAACGATACATTTTACCACTCGCATATGCCGTTTTTACCACTAGCATATGGCATATTTTGCTACTTGCGACTCGCAACTTGGTACTCGCATACTGCACTATTTC